GCGTGAGAACGCAGCAATTTTTTTTGTCGCATGATATCTTTTTGCGCGCGCAAAGAAGTCCAAGTGTAAGGCGTCGCTGGTTCCTGGTTTCTTCGCGTACGCAGGTCGAGCAAATCCAGGAGCGAGAACGCGGCGGGGATTTCGCGCGTGCTTGCGCAACAGCTTCCCTGATACGCGACTTAACACAACTTAGCCCTTGCTGAAGCACCCACCTCTTCCATGTGTCCTTGCGCAGCAGCTTCCCTGATGTGCGACTTAACATAATTTAGCCCCTGCTTAAGCACCCACCTCTTCAATGTGTGCTTGCGCAGCTGCTTCCCTGATGCGACGACTTAACACAATTTAGCCCTTGCTTAAGCATTCACCTCTTCCATGTGTCCCATTGAAAAGACGGACTTGGAACAGCCTCGGAGTACTTCTTCAGGGTTACCTCTGCTAATTGCCTCCTTTCCAGAACTTCTTGCTCCAAAGTGCCTTTGCTGCCCTACATGATGTGTTGCCCTCGCAGCGTTGCCGCGGAAATCCGCTTTATGGCTATGTGACGTTACACAGCCAAACTACCAAGAGGTCTGGATTAGCAACTTGATACTGATTGGATGGTCCTTCGCAAGGTTCGTAAGGCGTAGCTAGCAGCGGAAAAAACAACCGCGGTGCTGTTCCATCGCTGTTGAGGTCTGTTGCTGAGATAATTCTCACTGATATTGTTTGCGACCAAATGAAGTCGGATAACAATGAAAAAATATACAAAACAAAACCCAAGGCGGGAAGGCAGCAGCAGCTAGTGGAGACCCAACAGCCCCACTACTGGTGAAAGACAACGCAAAACTTAGACTTAGACTGGATAGCTCCCATCCAGCGGTGAAAGCGCACCGTGATCGTTACTTGTACCCTTAACCCTCGAACTGGTACTTCCAAGAAGAGACCAAGGTGTCCGAGGGCGGCGGAATGGCCATGAGATGCCATGTACCTAGAAGCTTAGAGGTCACACGAACGTCAGTCCATTTCAAGCCAATCAAATAAGCAATGACATCTTCATCAATCCAAGCTTTACACGCACCACGCAACAGGATGTGCTTAGCACGCGGAACAACGGTATCGCCGTCAACCCAACTAAGGAAACCAAGGTCAGATCCTCCCCCTGAGCGGTGTATCAGAGGTTGTGCGCGTTTTTTGCTCAAGCCAACAGCCCGTCGCAGGTAATTTTCACGCGATTCCTCTTTCAATCTCTGGATCCAGAAAGGCCTGGAGTCCGCAGGTCTGACGTTCTTACCAACTTTAGCAACAAAGACTCCACGAGTGCCGCTGGCACTCTCAAGCTTGCTCGCAGTAGCAGGTTTCAACCTAAGAAAGCCAACGAGCGAGGAGGAATCACCGACCGTTCGAGTAGTCCAATTTCCACCAAGCAGCTCAGCAAGTTGGACACCACTTCCAGCAGCGAGGTCACGAACCACGTCAGTGGCACTGTCATTGCTGCCAGTATCCGACTTATGTTGCTGCCGGTACACGGCCGGCGCAGTAACTCGGATTGTGCAGCGTTCCTCAGGGATCACAGGGATCTGAGCCTTAGCCACCTTAGTGACCTCACGCATCCACAAGCCATCGCGTGCACCAAGCTTCAACAGCCCAGCCTTCTCAAGGGCAGGACCAAAAGAACCACGCGTGACAGACAACTGGGTCAAGTGAACATCAAGATTCTCCTCAGGGTTCTGTCGAGCACGACCAGTGACAAGCACCATCCCAAATCTCAACAACGTTACCATCAGGCACATCACCATTCATCAGGCACTTCTTCAGCTTGCGCAGGGTGATGAGCTTAGGGGGATGCTGGATCATCCAATCAGACGCGCGCACGGAGGTGGCAGCATGCATAAAGCGACTATCAAGCCCAGGCCAACGTTCATCGTGATCCAACCACGCATTCGCCTTAGGACAGCTAGCAAAACCGTCAAATTCAACCTGATGATCCGCACAAGCATCCATGACAACAGTGCGCGTCGCCTGCTTATCAACAGGCGTGGGAGTACTGCCCTAACACTCGGTCCAGTCACAGGGAGCCCAACCATCCCACCAGTCATTTTGGTAAGAGGGAGTCTGCCAAGAAGTATTCCAGTCAGCCCAATCACCGCGTGGGTACCATTCCGCATCTCCCTCATTGGCGCTTTTTGAAAGGTGGCAGACTTAGATTGAAACGCAAGGGCAAGAACACGCAGGATGCCCTCCTCGCTTCCGCCCTTATTCAAGCAATCCTTCAAGCCACCAAGCAAAGCTTTGGCCAATTCATGGCCGTTATCCTCGACAGTAGTAGGGGAGGAAGTGGTCACAGCAGCAGGCGGAGTCTGGCGTCGTCTCCGCGCACGGGGCCTCGCAAACTCCTGAAGAAGAGTGACGAGCTGCTGTTTGGCCTTCCTTTTACGCTGAGTGGCATTATTCGACCCACCTTCCAAGCAACAAGCGTGGGCAGCCAACCAACGAAAGTACTCAGGTGAAGGTTGGGAGGGACCACAACTTCGACACGCAGACGTCTCATCATCAGTCCTAGTTGTTCCACTCTCAGCCGGAAGTGCCAGAGTATCAGGCCACACCGGCACATGGAGCCATTTGTTGGCTAAGCCAGTGTTGTCCCCGCACACGCCGCAGACGACGAGAGCCGCACGTGCGAGCTTCGAAGAGACGGGTCGTTAGGGGACCTTTCTTGACACGCCTGTCGGTTGCACGCAGGCGTATAGAAGCTTTACGGCTACTCAGTCTCCATTTCTCCCTGAGTCGCACCCTCGCTTTTCGCTCACGGGCTGCAAAAAGACAATGGAGCCTATCCCAAATCAAGCCGCAAGTACCTAGCAGAAGAAGCCAACCAAGTTGGAGGACAGGATTACCACTCAAAAGTTGGAGTGGGTAAGCCCACACAACCACTTTGAGGAACAAGCCAGACAAGCAACTGAGAAACTTAGACAGCGGTTTCTGGAAGTCATGCCCAGCATCGGAACTGCGGAGACTATTGTAGATGCCCTCCTTGACAATCGCAGGTATGCCCACGCACTGTCGCTGTCGTTGCCATGGCTGGCACGGCAAGGATTCAATTAATTGGGGGCCCGAGGGGCCAAGGTGGCAATGACTCGTCAGAGGCAAAGCAGCAGCACCCAGCAAGGAGCAGCAGCAAAGCACAAGCAAAGGCATGCAGCAAGAGGCAGAGGCAGGGCTAGGGAAGGGGAGCCGCCCTCGGCCGGGCTTTTGCTGGTAAAGGGTTCCAGCTTTTCTTTCTTCAATTTTGAATTCCTCAATCCCATTTTTGAAGGGTCTTAATTTGTCTACTCCAAGCTTCCATCGACACGGAATGGCAACATCACCGACTTGACATTGTCAAGAGTCAACCGACACACCGGCACCGCCCTGTTGGATACGACAAACAAATTTGACATCCAAGTTGTGTGCAGTAACCAACACGGCAGCTTCCAGAGCTTTAGCAAGCGAAGGACACGAGCTCACTTGCCCTCTGGGGGCAACATCTTCTTCCAAACAAGTAACAACATCCGACCACATATCCAGACGTCCACCCCAGCAAGTCGGCCCCAACTCAACTGTGGGGCGTTGTTTGACAACTGGCTTCTCTTGAGCACCAGGCTTGGGATCCAGCTGTTTTCTTTTGCCTCTGTCCTTTCCTTTATCACTTCTTCCCCCTTTGGCAGCACCAACGTTACCATCATGCTTGTCCCCAACTAGGCCCTCGCCTTGATTGCTCGGTTCGGGGCCGGGCGACATCACGTCTTTTGGGAGGGGGTTTAAGGGGCTTCAAAGTACCATCTTTGGCTTGCTTGATCAACGTCTCAACTCTATCAAGCCAACCAACCGGATTGTTGTCCGCTCTCTCCAACAATTTTGTCAAAGCATCAAGCAAAACATACTCAACTTGACGTTTCTCGAGGGGATGGCGGCATTCTTAAACTTACTTGCTCACCACTTTAATAAGCTCATCTAAAAGGTTCGGCCCCACGCCTCCCACTTTTCCTCCACCACGCAAGCGACTACTCAGTAAGAGCCAGGTGCAGCAACGAATTTCACGGAACTGCACGCATCACGGCGCCGACCTTCAAGCCTCATTCGCCTACCATCCTTGCAAGCCCGGCGAACACGACATCTTTCACGCCTCAGTTGTCGACAACGGACGCCACCAATCTTACGACATCTTTTGGCAACGTGCACAGGTGACTGGGCATTGAAAAGCCTCCCAGCCACCTCTTCCCATTGCCATGTATACAAGCATGCCATGTAAAGGCTAACACTTCCCACTCTCAGCTTTCCAAATAACATCAAAGGATCCATGTCGCCCTCTCGTCCTGGACTGACTGGCAAAATCGGAACATCTGCCAGTGAAACACAAGCATACTGATGTGAAACTTTTTCTTGCGCTAAGGCAACAAAGCCCAAGACAAACAGCAACAAAACCCGCAGGTGGGTCTTACAGGCTCTAACGCCACCCCCGCTCGTTTTTCTCTTTCTTATCTTCTCCTTTGTTTTCCATCTTTTCTCATTCTACTGCAACCTATGGAGGAACTGTTGTCCAGGTCCCTCCCGCGAGTAGATGGATGGCTCGGCCCCCCTCCGAGGGTAATTATCTTTCTTTATCTATGCTTGCCAGGTCAATGAGAACTTGTTGATTTCAACCTTTCAGCTTTGCCCCTTGGGAGCATATGCTCTTCAAAAAGATGGCGTGAGCATGTGCTGGCAATTAGATGATGCCGGCAGCTCGGGTCGCTGTGTCTATTCTACTTGTAGCTGCTGCTGCCATCCTGCCTTGGAGTTTTCTGAGTGATTAGTCGCATATGTTACGGAGAACTCTAAAATAGTTCTGAGCAAGGACCTAAGCTTGAGTTGGAGTCGGCTTGCTGGGGCAGGAAGCAAAGACCCCGTCAAAAAAAAACAGCCAATGCTGTAGTGGCCTAGATGCAGAAACATGTCAATTGTTTACTGAGCCCGCTAAACTAACAAGGATGGCGTCCCAAACCATGATCTCTTAAGAGCAATTGTTGACCCAGTCAGATTCCACAGAAAACACCAGAACAGACAGGTACGCGGCAACCTGTCTGCGAGTACCATCGGATAAGTCATGCAAAGTGCCAATGAAAATGACTGAAAATGCAGCCCAAATCCCACAAAGCAAGCAAGCTTAAACACGAATCAGAAGCATTTCCCAGTCCAAGGTGCGTTGAGGACGGCGAAACCTTAGCGGCCCAGAAGCATGGAGACAGAAACAACTCTTTGATGCACGCGCCTTCTTAGTATAGGGCTGGGGTCTTGGGTCGTGTTATATTATGCTGCTATTTTGTCTGCATCCTGACCCAAAACATGCCTTTGACAGGCTGGAGGCTGCAGAAGGCGATGTAGAAGTGGAACAGCTGAGCCTCATTCCACATGATGCGGGGCGATTCTCATTTGGGATTTAAGGCTTGGGGATTGAGTTTTTGATTAGGGGTTTCGCGCTGACGGAACGAGGTGTAGGGCTTTTTCCACACCAAATAGCTTGTCTAACTCTGCCGGGATGTTCATTTCAATGAGTCATGCTTCAACACGCGCAGTCCAAGTTATGCGCGGAAGCGTTGAGGATGAAAGCTGCCCAACACGCGCACCAATATGCAGGTTCAGGGCCCAAGGCTTCGCCATCCGCACATGCCCAGCTCAAAGCACAAGGCAAGGCAATGGTCTGTCATGGGGCTCAGGTTCTCAGGGCCTGAAGACATGCGTTTGGTGCCTGTCCTGCTACAAGTAGGAATTGTATGCGGAAGATCGGTACAGGGGCACTGTACGACTCAAGTGTCCCGCGGTCTGACACTTGTGGTGGCAAAAATGCTTGCAAAGAGCTTCGGGGCGTGCACGAAGCATTCGGGGATTTAATGGGGATCAAACACAGAAAGGGATCCGCAGAGGGTATTCCACTGTCAGAACATGTCTCAAGCAGGCTTCAAGGTTCTGGCCATCGCAATGCTATGGTACAAAGGCAGACCTATGACAGTGCCTGCCAGGGTGCCCACAAATATTCACCCAGCGGAAGTCTGAACAGCGCATCCGCTGGAGAGTTCCAGGTAAGGCCGTCTGAGATGACCCTAAACCTGAGCACAATGACAGGAGGCAGTGAGCTACAGTGCATGGACGTGTCTCCGCCTCTTCGGGCTAGACAACCTGGTCACAGACTCCCTACTGACCCTACTGGGTCATCTGCTCAATAATGAGCAAATGTGCATGTGACACAACAAGCTGCGGCAGAACCAAAAGCACTCTGGTGGCTGGAATGACCAGAGCAATTGGGCATCTGGGGGCCATCAATCCAAGGAACATTGTTATGAAGGATTTGTACAAAGAGCCGAAATAGAGGTTGACATCATGCAGCAGCTGCTGCTCGTCCAGAGTCAAGGGCTCAACTTGGAGATTGGCGTCCACAATGAAGTCCAGAGCAGCATCTGTGAAAAGTATAGAGAATATGTACATTATCAAACTGAGGAGGACCATGGCCCACGCTAGGGATTTCAATGTTCCGACCAATGATTGGACCAAGGTCCGCAAGGAGCGGAACAGGCGAACCACCTTCACGCAAGTGTGTGGTTGGCTTAAGCGAACATGCTTAGTTTTGACAACTTCGGGTTGGTTCCATGTTGGGAAGTTGCTTCAGATTGATTTTACACACGCTGGTAGGGACCCTTAGCATACTGCTTGGCTATGGTGCTCGGTCCGTCTCTCGGGCTGGTCTCGTGGATCATGCTTCGTTTTGCTTGGCTAATGTTGCCGCAGCCTCACGGATCCTACTATTGGCACTAGTCGGCCATGTGTGCTGACGTTATGTATTAGCTCTCTACTACAGTTCCTCCGTGCCTTCATAATTCGCACCACGCGGAATAACCTGCCCACACGGATCAGCCGCATAAGCCTTAGGTTGCTATTTGCTCCCCGACTTGTGGTACCCGGAGTGAGCAGATCAATAACCAGTTCGATCCACGACGATGAGACTACGAAGACATCCAGCCTCAGCTGCAGCCACCAGATATCAAGACAAATATCTGGGAATCGGGAGAGCAAGGCAAATGCTTGCAAATGCTTGCAAATCAAGCGGCCAATTCCAGTGCCATTCGGAAGACCACAGGTAGGATGCCATTCCTTCGGCCACTATGCGGAGGCAGACTTCCACGGTGAAGAGGACAGCATAGATCACATGCACAATGAGGAACCAGGTGTACGCAGCCGCTGCGGGATCCCGGACTTGGGCCTTTGCTCGACAGATCGTCAAAGGCTCAAGGACTAGGTGCCTTATTAGGGACCCTGAGGATTGCCAGCACATCACGGGGATCCTTGAAAGGGGCGATGTTGAGATCTAACGAGATGTGGCTGGAGCACCTACACCTTAAGCAACATCTCAACCGGCCAAGGTTGCATAATACTCCAACTGCACACCCAGGTAGACCGAGTTGGACAACACGACCAAGGCGAAGAAGGCGTTTGAGAAGTTGGAGTTGACAATCCGCCCTGGGCTTCAGGGACTGCAGAAGGCCCTTCCTCACCCACATCACCCTCTTATAGCCCAAGCTGCGTGAATAGGTTTGGCATCTTTGCCAAAAGGTCTGGTTCTTGGCGCTGGAGGCCTGCTCCTCCTTCCCAGCTACAATCTAACCAACGCATTCCAAGGAAATGGCAATGAAGGAGTCTGAAAATCCGCGGCCTCCTTGACCTTGACCTTGGTCTGATAAGCCTCCACCAACCGATTGTGCGTAAGCCGTGCCAGGTCATGGCCTCAACCCAACGAGCTGTACAAGCACCAACAGAAACCAAAGTTCAAGTTTGCAGTCCAGCCACTGTCTAAGCCTTCCAGGCCCAGGTCTGATTCATTAGAAGCGACGCTGTGTCGCTGAAGTTTGTCCGAACCTGAGAGCAGGTTAATTGCCACCGTGCTGCATGGCAACTCCACAGAGAGTAAAGCTAGGCGGCGCTCAACATCTAGTTAGGGTCTGTTAACAAAAACATGATGGAAGCTACTTCCTTCGAAGCTCTGAAATTTGAGCCCTGAAGCTTCCACCCATGCGAACCATACGAGGCATTTCTGACCCAAACTCGCTCGGGACTCTCGTTTCAGACCTGAACAGGGCTTTTCGCACAAGTATGGCCTTATGGCTCAGGCGCAGACCGTTAGCTTATGAATCACCATTTGAAATAAAAAGAGTGGAGAGAGGGGAAACTTGGCAGGGCAGAGGCATCTTTCCATCAAATTACATGAGTTTACTGCAAATATCAGCTTCCGGCCGAACTCGGTCTACGCATGCAGCATTTTGAAGCCTAACTTGAGACATAGCAGGCATCTGAGAAGTATAAGCGGACCCAAGCTACGGTCCACTTCCGAGAGACCTTGCTACAGCTGCGTTGAAACTCCACTGGTGGAAGGAGCCTGGCCAAGCGAAAGCGCAGCATGTTTTCGAAGTCGTTGAGCCGCGCATCAAGGCGCGTGAGGAGTCTTAGAGAGACAACGTTGGCTTGGGTTGCTTCGGCGGGAGGGTAGTCCTGCTGCCACTTCCACTGCATGCCTGCTACTGCAATTCAGTCGCTCTTGCTGGCCCTTCTGGAGGGCATCCTCCAAACATTTTGGCACTTCATGAGGATCCGCCATAGCTGAGAACTAATGCAAAGAATGGGGCAGGCAGCACAACGAAGCCTGCCAGCGAAAGGCGCCTTTGGCGCATGTCTACTACACAGCCGCCCCTTCAATGAGCTTAGAATTTGCAGCAAGCACCCACGCAAGCAAGATAGCACATGCAGAGGCATCCCTCCTGCACCCTATTGCCAGCACACCAGATTGCTCAGTCCACTGCCTCAGCAGTGCGGGACACCTTCAGTTGTCAAGTGGTTGTAGGCTGCCTTCACTCTGCATCAAACTCAGGTAATGGTCTGAACGCTCTCAAAGTTGCCTGATAAGTGGTTCGGCTCTTCATAACTTCACCACCAATTCCATGCAACGTGACAAAAGTGCCGGTAAGCATAACGGAGAGCACGCAGCTGTGGCGAGTGATCCATTTCTTGATGAGCACATCTTGAATCCACGTTCTGGCTTCGCCAGTACGCAATCCCAGCCTAAAGATTACTGTCAAAATGGGCGCAGGTCATAATCTATTTAGAGATGAATGTCGATCCGGATGCACGCCACAATTCAATCTCTCAGCGGCTCATTCGTCACCATAAGTTGCTCAGCACAGCCCCGGCTCGACTGGCACCAGATGTAGCAAACTATCTTCGCAGTCCTACACAGTGCCTGCCAATCAGTTCACGAATTGCGATCTCTGAGGTGCCCGGATGCGGCTACCAGCATTGGACAATATTGGACAGCTACCAGCTAGCAATACTGCTGACATAGCATTTCGAAGCATCGAGAAGGCACCCCCTCTCCCCTAGCTACAAAAAGCAGACAGCTATAGTCCAAGAAGAGACTTGGAATCAAGTCCCGCCCTTCTGGCAGCGGATGCAGATGCAGGCCACTACAGGAATCCCTTCAAAAAACTGTACCACTGTCTTTTTGCGGCTATTTGCTTCAAGCCTCAAGTGCCTGGATAATGGCCTGCAAACTGAAGCACATCTCCAAAGTCTAGATCCTTGCTGCAGGCTTCAAAAAAAAACACAGCTTCTGATCAAACACGGAAGATCCTACTTCGATCTTGACTCATTTCCTCCGCTGTATTTGTACTTTGCTCGCCCACGCTTGTTGACAGAGCGCTGCCTGCTCACAAGTGTGAATCTTGCAAGTTTTCGGCATGGTTCTGCCATACCCCGACATGTCAGACGAAAACTGAAGAATCAAAACTGGTCACACACAAGCCCTGCCTGCTCGTAAAAGTTGAATGTCTAGCCGCTGCTGTGACTTCTCGATTGCCTGCAGCTGTTTGGCGATCTTTGCCTGAGCTGTTCCGACCATTTGACCATGAACAAAGATCCAGCCAAATTACCGGAAACATCATGAGGAAACCCCCACACTCAAGCTAAGATACATCATGTTCTAGCTACTCAACGGAAACCAGCGCGACTACACAACTCACCTGCGAGTGAGCTTTCAAACGAAAACTTTACAGTGTGAAATGAAGCACTGCTAAATTCGTAAGCGATACTTCTCGCTGTTCGAATTCAGATTCCTGAGAGCAGTACTGTCATGAAAGATATTGCCACAAGATTTTGCAACTGGCAGCGGTAAAGACTTGCTGCTGCCCACCCAAGTCGCACTGCTCTGCCGCAGGGCATACAGATCGGCGGATCGAGCTGGGCCGTGCAGCTGCAGGCCTGCTGCAACTGAAGTGGGTTCGCCACAATAGAAGCAAACATCAAAAAAGCATCCCTGTTATCATTACCATCATCAACATCATCATTATCATCATCATCATCCATCATCCTCACACTGTTCAGCATCATAAAAAACCACCCGAGAAACAAGCTCAAGGCTAAACTCAGCGTGGAGATTGCACTCGTGAATCATTCTTAGTTCCGCGTTCCAGCCACTCAACCGACATCATGGGCACAGCTGATCTCACCGACCTCTTGATCCTACGAAAACCTATTCTGGACCCATATTCGACAAGCGCTCCGATCTGGTTTACAAAGCAACCGCACTGAGAGAAATCCTTACTGCACTCGGAGGCTGAGCCACATCTTTCCGTGAACTCATCCACGCTTATGGTGTGATCCCCGTCCATGTCCAAGCTTGAGGAGCTTCACGTGATGTTCATGCTGAAAGGCACCTACTAGCCGAAAGCCCATCTAATAGCAAACGTCACACTTGCAGTCACATGTAGGGCCAAATCCTTGGCAGTTTGTCTACGCGAGGCGTTGACCAGGTATCTCGATGTATGGTGGGGGCGTTCCGTGTCAGGACTGGCAATTGCGTCCAGTAATCACACCTGGTACAAGTCCTGCTACCCACTCCAATGGTGCATTAGCAAGGATAAAGGTAGGGCCTCCAAAAGCTATTACGGCCACAGATTGAGACTTCCTTACACCGCATACCTTTCGAGTTGCATTCTGAGAATAGCAGCCTTGCCAACCTCATAATAGAGCCCGGCGCTTTGCCCAGCAGACTGTCTATGTCACCCGATGCCACACCCTGGGAGCGGTAGACCGACTTCCACTTTGCGCCACGCAGCTCATGAATAATGTCCATGCGTCGACAGCCCCGATCTGAAGTAGTAGTAGTGTTCGATGAGGA